GTGGATCACCGTTGATATAAAGTAGCACTTCCGGTTATACCATTTTAACGAAAATGTTGCTGTAACTTCGGAACCATATAAAAAACCTTAAGTACGCAATCGTACGACTTTTCGTTTTTGAGCTGATCACACACACAGACCATTTTGTGGGATTTGGTTATTTAGACTCAGGGAACCTGAAAACATGTATTTCCGTTGAAAACTAAGATTCGGGAATTTTCACGATCGCAATACTTTTCCTTACTATATATTCAGTATACAAGCAAGTGAAAGTAAAAATACGGGCAAGATATTTACATATAAAATTAGACTTTATGTTATTCTTTTATAATTTACTGGATCTGTCCTAAGTGAATAGAATACTGCGTGCATTATTTTTTCGAGGTAGTCTTTGCAAACTACACGATTTTTAATGAGCCACATCATGTTATTTAAGTTTCTCGAAAATAGTTCAGTACTAGATTTTCGAAGCTTAAAGAATTGAATTCGTTCGTTTGATTTCACCCAAAGAACTACTTTACTATAAAGCTAGGACACTTAAGACACTTGGAAAAAATGTATTTAAACTGCTTTGCAACTTAAGCAAAGACAACAGCCTAGAATAATCTAAAACGTGGCGTTCTGGTAATTGAGAAATTTCTATATTTTTTGTTAAAAGGTCTGAAATTAGATAATTTTTTGCTTTAATGTCTTCAACTTAAGATCGAATGCGTTAATGAATCAAACACGGATCTCTCCAACTAATGCCATTTCGGAAGAGAACACAATTCCAAATATAACATGCTATGCCTGTACATAGCGGAATCTTTTGGCGTTTTGACGATTGTATCAAGCTGACAAAATCACGTGTATCAAACATAATAAGGGTTTTAAAATGTTGCGAGTAGTCCCGCTCAACCTTCAAGCATGGCGCAAACCAACCCACACTTTCACTTTCCATCTCCAGTCTTTCTTGAGAGTTCCAAGGTGGAGGTAGTGCGCTCTTGTATTTCAAAAGAAAAACCTTCTGAAATGTTTTAAAATTTTCGGTCGCCTTCTCAAATGTTTGGATAACGTTGCTGAACTACCATGGACTTTTAAGGATGTTACGCGAAAGGAATAAAATATTCTTCAGTAATCTCCAGGTAAATAGGCAAGGTTATTGTACTATCTATGGTGTCACTCTGACATTTCCTTCCCTTGTGGGTTTGTCTGATAACGTAATAAGATTCATTTTAAGGCACAATATGATTTTTCTAAATTTCATATTTTGACATTTAACACCTGATTTACATTGAGATTACATGAAATTTAGAGAAAAAAAACTTTATTTTTAATAATATATGCAAAAAATATTTAATTCATAAATTTTTTTGATTAACTTTAACTTGTTTTAAAAGTCCAAAAAAATAAATAAATAAATAAGTTGCATTGGTACTGTAAAATAAAACTTACTACAGACAGTTGTTCTTTTGATAAATTAATGAAATTTACTTTCATTTTTTTACCTTAAAAAAATGAGAGACAGGAAAGAAAAAATAGATCATAAAAGGAATAAATGAAGAGAAATTTATACGTATTAATCTTACATTTTTATTTATTTTTGATAAAAATAAGTGTGATTTTTTAGGCTATTTTTCTCTTTAAAAAAATATAATAAATAATTTATTAAAATACTCAAAAAAATTATTGACTAAATACTTATTTAAGATAATTTTATAATTTTCTACAAAAAGTAGTAACGTTACTTTATAATGAATTATTGAATTAGGGATCATTAATAGCTCAATTTTTTAATGATAATTTATATTTTAATTTAATGATTTTAAAGACAAGGAGGGATGATACAAAAAAAAATTGGAGAAATTAAAGTTTAAATAATGCTCATTAAAACAGCCTTGCGTATTTTATCAATGTATAATAATTAATTGGGAGTATTAGTTTCAATACCAATACATTAGTTCAATACCATTTCAATAATGATATTAGTTTCAATACTACAATAAAAATTATATTCCTAATTCTTAAGAAAGAATATAAGTTTATTTCAGCAATTTTTTTTTTTTTTATTATTATCAGTTTAGTTGTGTTATTCATACCTGCTGAGGCAGTCATGGTTCAAATCTCTCAACAATCAATTTTTTATTGTTCCTGCCAAATGCTGCAAATAGCATGACTAACTCGCTAACTGGAGTGGCCCCTGAAATGGGACAAGAAAATGTCGGTCAATTATGTTACTGGTTGTGAGCAACTGGAATTACAACATGAATAATAAAATGATAAATATCTATCACAATATATTTCTAACAAAAAAAGTCAGTCATAGTATATCCAAAAATGAGGTAATTTTAGATTATAAACATTTACCAATATCATGAATTGCTTGAATGGAAAATATGTTATGTCATAAATTAATTTCTTGCTAGGAGGTTAAGGGAATAGATATAAATCCAAAATTATACCTTTTCAATAATAATAGTTAATTATTGATAAAACGTAGAATATTTTTCATTTCCTAAGTTATTAATGATACGTTTCCATAAGAATATTATTTTTTGTAATTAAAAAAAAACACATCAAAATTTAACTAAGAATGATTATGTTTAAATTTCAAGAAACCTGAGACTGCAATGACATGATGATGTTCTATAGAATCGTTCTAAATTTGGGCTTTAATAACCACCCCAAAAAGCAGGATCAAGAACATATTTGAAAGAAAGTTCTATGTGAAAAGAAGAATAATACTGTAGGAGGTATTAAATTAAAGGAAAAATCACTAGAGGAAAATCATCAGATATTGTACTACCTCATACATTATGAAGGTTCAGCTAATTAGGACATACCTTAATGAATGACCTCTGACATTAACCTTAAGAAAATTAAATCTTAACTTGCAGTCTTCAGTGTATAGCATTGGTTGAGAGGTTGAGATGGCCGAACATGTTAATGCATTAACTTTAACATTCTTGAGTCTAACGATGCTGGGTTCAAATCCGGCCTGAGTGGATTAAAATTTATTTTGTGGCAGACCCACTGAATGAATCTCAACTTTCTCATTCTCTTTAGAATAGGTTTGTTTGTACCTTTAGAATAACCCTCCCCCTCCTGTATGTCCAAAATAGTGAGGTAGGGGTATTGAGTATAGAAACAAAGTGGTTGAGAGGCCTTAAAGTATTGGATACCGAGAGAAAATAATGATGCCAGCAGCAATTGAATAAAAAAAAATTATAAAGATGATGAATGATGATAATTCTTTATAAACCAAACAAAAATCTGTAATCACAATATTTTAGCTGTTAGGATAAATGTTTCAGCAGTTGAGATAAATGTTTTGCCTACTACAGAATGTGAAGTATAAACAAATATGAATAAAATAATATAATATCTATCACACATGTATTTATATATCTATGTATGACACAAACCTGGTTATGTTATTGCTCACATTACCCGACAGTCAATTGGTACCTTGAAACTATTCCATCGCTTCCACCATCTCCAACCCATCTCCACACGTAGACTCCTAGTAACTTCCCTCATCTTCCCCCACCTTGATTACGGCTGCGTGGTGTACGGTGGCCTCTCGGCCGAACTCGGGGAGAGACTGAAAAGAATTATGAATGCCTTCGTAAGATTTGTCACAGGAGCCCTGAGTTATTCCCGTGTTTCGCACCACTATGCTGAATTAGGATGGCTCTTCCCTTCCTTCCGAAGACAATATTTCCTAGGCATATTCCTTTACCAAATAATCAATAGTCATCGTCCGTCCTACGCATACAATCTCCTACAATTCAAATCATCTATCCACACCCTCTCCACAAGATCTCGTCCTTCTGACCTTTACACTCCTTTCCACAGATCTGCATCATTTAAACATTCCTTCGTTGTCCGTTCTACTGCATTCTGGAATTCCATCCCACTAAAAATCCGCCATGCATCATCCTTATCCACCTTTAAAACCCTCTTATTCCAATTCCTCTTCACAATCCAATCAGACGCTGGTTAAATACATACTATGTTATAAGGATTTAATTTTCTTTAGACATTATTTTTTCTTTCTCTTATTTTTTATTGTTTCACACGTGAATTTTCATCACCACTCACTAAGCATTGTGAGTAGATAAAATTTGTTTTTCTTAAGTTCTAATTTGTTATTCATGAAATGTATTTCAGTGAAAGGTATTTTATTTCTAATTATCTTCAACATACTTCTCGCTATGTGTATATGTATACTTTATTTTATTTTCTCTTCTCCTAATCTTTATGCATAATCACTTAAATATCTTAGGGAACATATGTATATCATTATTTGTTTTTTTATATTTTTTTTGTTTTAGTTTTTACAATTTCTTTCCCTACATATTAACAGTTATTATTATTTTTTTAATTTTTATATTCCATCACTACAATGCTTTACCTATAAAATAGATTTTACTTTCCTTTCTAATTTCATTCAGTGATTATTATGCAATTATTTTAGTTCCAATATTGTAGTACTCAACCCCTATTACCCAACTGTCCTCGTTAATTTATCCTAAGAGCTTAATTAATACTTAATGTATTACATGTATTTTGTTATTATTCATTGTAATAAGTCTTTTGACCAGATTTATAGTTAATATATATGAACAATACTGTTATTCTAAAGGGACCTAGTCCCAGAATAAAGATGATTTTTCTATTTCTATTTCTATGACCCTGTAGAAGGTGTTAATCTAGGTATGACTAGTGACATTAAGCTTAAGAAAATTAAATCTTAACTTGCAATAGTGCCAAAGAAGAATTTGGTTTTTAAGCAAGCATAATACTGTAGAATTTTTTTTTTCTTTCCTATAATTCCATTAGGGGACATAATAAATATATATATTTTTTTCAATTTGTTAGAAACTTTAAAAATCATCTAAAATCATTTTAATTCCACTTGTTTTTAGTTTATTTTGAAAATATGTCTAATTTATATTTATAAAATGATATATTCTGTTAGCTTTTTAAATTAATATTATTTTTTTTTCTGTTTTTAGGAATAATGATATTTCTCCTCCTCTTTTGGCTAGCAGTGGGAGAGGCAGTGTACATACCACCAGGCCCAAAATTTCCTTGCCCGCCTCAAATCAACTTTTTATATCCTTGCAAATGTACTCGAGGTACAGATACAGGAATCAGTATATTTTGTAATAACACCAACTTGGCATCCCTGTCTATAGCCCTTTCCAATGTTGCCTCTATTGAAGCTCCAATTGATGCAATGACAATATCTTCTGGAAAATTCTGTAAGTAAAAGAAATAAAATGAAATTTGAAAAAATTTATATAATATTCCTATTTTATATTTTTAGCATGGTAGTTATTTAAATTTAATAATATGGTTTTGGTAGTAGAGGTTGGTCGAGTATAATTTTAACCTATTGTTATAAGTGATCTCGTTGTTTTCATTAAAAGTAAAATAAATCTCAGAAATTTATAAATTTATGCAATAATTTCAGTTCTTTCTCCAACTGATGTGTGCAAATATACACTGGTTTTCTCCTCTTTAGACTACTCTAATAAGCTTAAATGTTTTTTCATTTTTTTTTTATTTGAAAGGAATACATACAATCCATTAAAAAGAAGCTGGGCTAGTATATGTTAACAGTTTACCACGTTCATATTTCTTATTACTGCTTTATTCCTATTGCTTTAGCAAAATGTTTAAAACCTAAAGTTTTCCATAGTAAATGGTCTATCTAATGCAAAAATAATTTTCAAATCATTAGTAGATCTTGTGATTATCACATTCAAAGAAAATAAATTTTCAAATTTATATGTTAGTATAGATCAGGGGTCTCCAAACTATGGCCCGCAAGCACCTCCAGTCTGCCCACGAATATTTCTTTGATTACATGATAAAATTTTAAAAACTATTAAAAAAAGATGAAATTTAGTAAATTACTCACACAGGAGATTATTACAACGTTTTTTAGCATGTTTTTGTTTTCTTAGAAAGCTTATTTAACAACTGAAGGGTCAGTTATAGAACAAGATTTGTTTTTCTTCACAAGCCATGGCCCGCAGTGGAGGTCTCAATTCGGCCTGCGAGACATTATGAAGGTCTCAATGTGGCCTGTGGGCCAAAAAGTTTGGATACCCCTGGTACAGATTATCATTTTTCCTTAAAATAAAAAAAAAATTCAGTTAAAATATTTATCTCAAATTATTATTTTTTTTCTAACAATCATAAATAAATTATTTTATTACAGCTCGTCTGTATGGGGGACTTCTTTATGCAGTTGATATTAAAGTGCTGACGATTGAAAATACTCCTTTAAAGAAGATTGAACCACAGACATTTCTTGGTGTGAATAAAACTCTAGAAGAACTAAACGTTCTAAATACAGAATTAGAAATATTTCCTAGAGAGGCATTTGAGGTAAATATTTATTATTAATTTTATTAATTAGCATATAAATTTTTTACATTAATTTATATCTCTCTATCCACATCAGAAATGTTCAATTATCTTATTTTCTTTCTTGGTTTATATAAAATACTATAGATATATTCACATTATACTGTTAAAGTTAGAGTTAAGTCCTTTTATTATTCATTTTGCCACAGAAATTCTAACAATGCCTAATTCATGTTTTATAAATTTATAAAAGTTTGAAAAAAACTATCTAATTTTGTTATTAATTGCTTTCTTTGAGTAATTTGTTGCATATTTCAATCGTAATACATCTTCAAAACATTTATCTAACACATATATAGTTACTCATTTCAATTAAAAATTTTTAAATTTCTAAGGCTTGTTTTGTTTTCGAATTATCAAATAAAAAAATTATTAAAACCTTTTACCATTACTCATACAAATGACAACATTGTGTTAATTATTTAATGAAGGATTAATTAATGAAGGATAATAACACATTAATAAGAATAATACGCTCTCAGAACAATTTATATTCAAATGATTTATTGTTTAATTAGCTTCATGCACTCATTAATTAATTAATTAATCTGTTTATCAGAGATGTATAATGTTTAATAATTCCAATGTCTTACATTTTCTCATTGTTCCAATATAAAATCAGACGCTTTCTAACTATCCTACTTTTTTTTAATAGATAACTTTATTTTTTTCCAGAATCTTGGAAATCTCAAAATACTAAACATCAATGGCCACAATTTAACAGAGTTACCAGTAGGCAGCATCAGTGGTTTATTACCACAAAATCTTGAAAAACTTATATTAGCGAATGGTCCACTAAATGAAATACCAATAGATAGTTTAACACCTTGTAAAAAATTAAAGAGGTTAGATCTTCATGGGAACAAACTGAAAACACTAAAGAGAAATCAGTTTAAAGGTCTTAGGAATGTGGAGTATTTAGATATTTCACATAATATTCTCGAGAAGATTGATCCTACACATTTAGCAGACCTGAGCAAGCTATCGTGGTGTAATGTGTCTCATAATGCACTAAAAGATCTTACAAGGTAAAATTTAAAAGTAATGTTATTTGTTCTATTTATTTTTCCTTTTTACCTTTCATTTCATTATAAGAATGAAATATTTTATTTTATTCAGAATATTAATTTACTACAGAATAAAAATATATTTACTCCATGATACTTATCCAATGAGATGCTAAAAAATAAACAATACACTTGCCTTTTATTATTTAATATTTAAAAGGTTTTCATTCAGTCTACTAAGCTGGACTGCTAAGCTAAGGCAGACTTTATCAGGAATTGGTATTGTTGCTCACACAGATCCAAATATTTTCTATTTTTCATATAATCTCATGGCTTATCAAGTGGAAGAAACATTCGCATCCACTAAATAAAATCCAAATATTGGAAGTTGAAAGCAATAACAAAAGGGGCACCACCAAGATCATCAACTTCCAATTTCATAATATTTAAAAAGTATATAAAAGCTTTAGGGTCACTAGATAAATTGTCTAATTTTAACCTGAACGCAGAATAAAGTAATATTGAAACTATGCTTATTTCAATAAATATTTTTAAATTTTTATATTTCAGGGGCACCTTTGCAAGAAATACTGTTTTGAGATCACTTAACTTAAGCCATAACAAACTAAAGAAGATTGATACAAATTCTTTTCGTGGTATGAGGTTTATCAGAAGACTTTTCCTCTCAGATAATGAAATTTCCGAAGTTGGTAGAGACACTTTCGGAGCTGTTTCCAGAATAGGAACAATAGATTTGGCAAGAAATAAAATTAAGAAAATTGATTTTCAAATGTTCAGCCAATTGCAATATGTTGAGGTAATTAATAATCATTATTGAACATAATAATATGTTTATGAAATTTATAACTAGTTTTCATTTATCCGAATTTCTCTAGTTTTTAAACAATAACTTTTAGGCTATTAAATATGATTGATTAATAATTTTTTATTACTATTTCTAATAACATTAAATTTTATAATAGCACTAAGAGGCAAATAAAATGGTCACATTATTTTTTAAAGATTTTAATAATTGATAATAAATATAATATTATAAGTAAATTTATAGTATTTTGTAGCTAGTATCCGTATTGACTTTATAAGCTTTTGAATATGTTTCTGAGTCATATTTATATATTCTTCTACGAGAGAACAACTTGTCCCATGGGTCCTTAAAAGTACCCAGATCTAAACTAGAATATAGCCATTCCTTACACCAAATTAAGAGTTTTTTGGTATTTAATGAAAGTATGGATAAAAACTTGCAACAGAATAGTCATTTTTGTTTTTACTTCAGTATAGAAGGAAAACAAAGTTTTGGAGATTTTTTATCTGTCTAAATATGTAAATGAGATGAATCATAAACATGACAAGCTTGATTTAAATACTATATACATTGAATAAAATTTTATTTTTCTTCTTTTTTCCCCAGCTAATAGATGTATCTGACAACTTGGTGACAGAGATACAGAAACTAGCTTTCAAAGATCTTTACTTAGTACACATCAATCTATCCCACAATGCAATTTCAAAAATTGAACCAGGTGCTTTTGAAAACTGCGCTAACATTACCGTTTTGGATTTTTCATATAACAAATTAACTACTTTTCCACCACGTGCTTTCGATGAAATCACTTATGCAACTGAGCTTCAACTATCTTACAACAATCTAACCGACTTATCAAAGGTAAGAGATTGAAAAAGGATTATTTATTTTCTTTAAGAATATTCATTAATGGTAATTTATTTTAATATAGGTGTACCTATATATTAATATAGGTATATATATTTTTTTTTTTATACTAAGAAATTTCTAATTCTAGGTACCTCTTGGGAATATGACTGGTTTAAAAATTTTAAATGTAACTTATAACCAGTTGAAGACGATACCAAGAAATACATTTCCTAAATTGTACGAACTCCATACCATTGATGTGAGCCACAATGTTATAACTGATATTTACAATGGAGTATTTCAAACTCTATTTGGGTTGAGATTTTTAAATTTGAGTTACAACGCACTAGCAGAAATAAAAGCCTCTACTTTTGGACCATTACCAACCCTTTTGGAACTTGATCTGAGCTATAATTTACTGAGCGATATAAGCAGAGGTTCTCTTACTCGTCTTATATCACTGCAACAACTGTCTGTTTCTCACAATTATTTAAATTCTTTATTTCCGATTCCTATTGCATTATCAAGGCTTGATCTGAGTTACAATGAAATAAATGGTATTGCGCAAAGAGCCTGGCCACAAATGAATGCATTATTGTCACTTGATTTAAGCGATAATTACATTGGGGATTCTTTAGAAGGTGGTTCATTTACTAATCTACTGACTTTGCAAAAATTGGATCTCAGTAGAAATTATATTACAGAAGCACCTTGGGAAAGTTTAAAAGATCTTTCGTCACTGCAATATCTCTATCTGCAGGTAAAGTTTGAAATTGAAATACAATTTTAATAGAATAAATTAAGAACATTCATTTGAAAAAACACATTTCTTTGGTTCTTATTTTAATCAAATACTTGATAATTTCAATGACCAGTGCAATTTCCCTCAAATCCTTAAAAATATCCTGGTCTATTTATATTAATTTTGCAATTAACATAATGTAAGAAGTGTTATAAAGACTTAAACTGGTTTATTTGTTTGCATACTTCAGCTCAAATTGCATCTGGCAAATACATAAAGTGATTTTAAATACTATTAGAGCACCGGAATACCCTAGTTGTAACTGCATTTCAATGTATATTTGTAATTATTTTTAATTATTAAGGCATTAAGTTATAAAATTTACTTGCTGTAATTGTAATGAAGTAATAATCATCAAATAGACTTGTGATTTTTTTTTTAAATAGCATTTCTTTTTATTTATTTCAGGGGAATAATCTTACAACTTTGAATAAAGCAGCTTTTGGAAAACTTCCGATTGTATTTGAGTTAGATCTGTCTTATAATCAGCTGACTAATGTATCAGAAAAAGCTTTTGAAGGATTGCTTCAACTCTTAACCTTAAATTTATCCAACAATGATATCAGCCATATTCCCAATGGAGCTTTCCATGGTATTTATTTTTTATATTAGTAAACATAGTTATTAAGAATGATTTTAACATTAAATTCTTCATAGTTATAACTTTTTTTGAATTTGAATTGAAATTTATTTCATGACTTTATTTTATCTCTCACAATGTTTGTTGACTCTTTCTATTGTTCATGTTAAATTTTAATATGTTTTTAGGTCTCGTGTCTTTACAAGTAATGGACTTATCTTACAATAATATTGAGAGCATTGATAATAAAACTCATGGTGTTATTGATGATTGTTTATCTTTAGAAAAAGTAAGAAACTAAAAATATATTTCATTTTATAAATATGTTGTTCAAAAAATATTTTATGAATCGAAATTTTTAGTTGAATCTCAGTCATAATAAAATATCATATGTTACAAGAAAATCATTTCCAAGTGATCCTTACCAGCCTTACAAGTTGAAAGAAGTTGATTTAAGTTATAATGTAATGCCTTCTATTACTTATGATTTGACTTATGGAACGAAAAAGATTGTATTTTTAAATTTGAGCCATAACATGATTAATGAAATAAGACCTGGTAAGACATTTATTTATATATTTTTTAATTTCATTCAAACAATTAAATGTTATAGTTATTCTTTTACGTATCTATGTTTATTTTTTTTAGGTGTGATTGGAAATCTGAGTTCTTTGCAAACGTTGGACTTATCTTTTAACGAGCTAACTGATATTAGTGAAGATCGATCTTTAACACTCCCGAGCACCCTGAAAAATCTTCATTTAGAAAATAATCAACTTATCTCTATTCCAATAAGAAATCTTCAAAAGCTGAAATTTCTAGATCTAAGGAATAATCAACTTGAATATTATACAGAAATAACTAAAATGGTCATAAATGGAAGTCATGTACTTTTTGCAGGTAAATTATAATTACTTTGTTATCACTAATTGATAATGAATTTTTATCACTTTTGAGACATTATTATCTGTAGCCATAAAATAAGTCATAACTTTCTATTATAATTTTTAGATATGAATCAAATTGTTGACATGTTGATGCGATTTCTATTTGATAATTTTTCTCATTAAAATTTTACTATATATTATTATTTTTTAATTAATATTCAATTTTTTTAATCATACAGGTAATCATATAAACTGTGATTGTCGCTTGAGACCATTGAGGAGGTGGTTACTCGATGACTATTCACGAACTAATCAGTGGTCAGAAGTATCCTGCTCTTTCCCAACAGTACTATCTGGTCAAAAATTACTTGAGTTGGATGAGGAAGCAATGCAGTGTACCGGTGATGGGGTGCGAGAGAATGAAGATTATGATACGACACCCGACGTTAAATTTAGAGAAATACATAGGTAATATTATAAACTGTCATTTAATATAATAACTAAGGTTATTTTATATCAAATTGTTTTGGATTAATGTGGTTTCATATTTTTTTCTGACTAAATCTAATATATACTTCGAAGAATATATTTGGACACAGAAGTTATTTTAATAAATCATGTTTCATAGGAATTCCAATGGCAAAATACACTTAACATGGTACGTGACTGCAAAAGAGGATATAGCTGACTTCAACTTGTACATTAAAGGACCATTAGAAATCGGAACAGATAATGCGATGTTTAAGAAATCTCTCACATATAGTACAAGAAGTGCTATTTTATCAAATTTTCCAACTTCTGAGGTATGTAAATTATTTTCTATTGATAATTTATTTGTATTTACTATAGACATTAATAGCTTGTGCTGTCAAGGCAACTTATGGTATGTGCATTCATATATCTTATATTATGATAAAAAATAATGTATAAAATCTCAGAGAGAAATTGTATAATTTATAAGTATTTTATATCATGATAAGGTAATTATTTGGGAGGACCCATTCTGTGCCAAAGATTTTAGAGTGGAGAAATATTTTCTCAGGATGCTCCCTTTCAGAGTTGTCATCCACTCTCCACTAAATTCCTCTATTGCATCTCCATGGATTATTATCTTCTTGGTGGTCTTCTACAATCCTCACCCAAGTATTTTCTGCCAAATCTTTTTTCTTGTTGGTTGTTTTGGCCAAATCTCATAGAAGTACGATTAAAGATACTGCCACCACTACATTCTGTACAGCTCCACCTGAGACTTTATTATATCCTATGGTGATAAGTAGCAAGGCCATTCTTTCATTCTCTGGGTCGACACAAACCTTTCCCTCTGAAGCAGTGAGACATATCGGTACCAGGAGGTAGATGCACACTACCTCAAGATACCCAGATATCCTTTATAGTGATCGGGTCATATCTGTCATAAAGTTTGGGTTCCAAAAAGAAGTTTCTGTCACAACTGATCTATTCATGATTTGCACAGCCTAGCAGCGAAATGATTCATGTGAGGTGTCTAATATAGGTTGCCACCTTACTCAGCAGGAATTGCCTAGTAATCCAGCAGTAGATAAATGTTAAATCTATACTATATCATGGAGATAAACTTGATTGTTTTATTATAATGCTAATGAAACATTAGTTTTGCTAGCATACTGTTATCATGAACTTACAAAAGCTTTTAAACTTCGATTTAAATATCAGGTGAAGGCATAAACATTGCTCATAAACATCGTACCCCAAGGTTATAAGTAGTTGCCCTTGGTACAATATATAGTGGCCCAAGGTACAACTATAGTATTTGTACCTTGTGTCATTTATTATATTTAAAAAATCATTCTTTTCATAGACAAAATCTGGTGATAAAATAATTTAATAATTATCATTGTATCTTCAAAGCATGAAAAATAAAATTCTATTTTGAACTTATAAAAATCATTGTTATTTTAGAAGTTATGGAGCAATGAAAAAAAAGTGACCCTGCGTACACGTATTTCTCCTATTTATTGAAATTTAGAAATTATTAAAAATATATTAATGTGATTTTTGAATAATATGAAACATATAATGAGTTAATTATTAGAAGTACCTAAACAAAGAAAAACTTTATAACCATGTTACATTTTTAGGGAACTTTGGAACTATGTATTGTAGCTATGGATAGTGAAGGACATGAAAGAGGCAGACACAATTTGCAATGCAGAAATTTGTCCACTAGTGGAAGTTCAGCGTCTGCTATAAGTTCAATTAGCTCTCTATTCCTTTGTTTTAGTTTAACAATTTTCATGTTATACCAATGAATATGGTAATTTGTTCCATTTTTCCAGTCATTCCATAATTTATTTATTTATATCACGGAAATAATATTTAATCGAGCGAGAAAAGTAGCAGAGTCCTAGCCAATCGAAGACAAATTAGGAGTTGTTAGTTTTAACTTCTTAAAAATATAATATCACCATTTTGGGTGGTAAATGTATATAATACTCGAAGCGAATAATTGCTTTTGCATATATGTAATATAAGAGTTGTAAATATTGTATTGTAAAAAATTAAAGTAAAGTTCCTTATTTTTTATATTTTTTGCTAGTTACCTAGTATATATTATCAAATGAATATGTACTTAAATTTTTATATATAAGTAGCTTTCGTCATATCTTTCTCTCTATGTTTCTCTCTTCTTTTGCTGATCTTTGTATTTTACATATTTCTTAGACTATAAAAGCTGTGATATCTATAATGTTAATTTTAGTATGATGTATTTTATTTTATGTAACATAAACATTCACATTTTTCTTATTTTATGAACTATTATAATAATGAATTGTTCATAATTACTACACTATTTTTGTATTTAAATTTTATATAAAATTATAGAATGGTATCATGTGCAACTTACACTATAAAATGTAAAATTGTACCATATTATAAAATGTGATGTACTTTTTAATTAGTTAAATTTATTTATAATTAATTATTTAATTATTATTAATTAATTGAAAGAAAATGTGATTAATTTTATTTTAACAATATATAAACTATTTTAAGCTACTTAGCACATTGCACTTCATGTTTTATATTGCATTATTATATATTTTTCATAATTATTTAATGTATAAAATATGTGTAGTAACATAAATATTTATTATTCATTAAGATAAGCGTATTAAGACAAATTTGTTAAATGTTTTTAATATTTTATGGTTTGTGAACTTAAATTTTTTGTATAAAGGAGTCGGTAATAATGTTAAAACATTCCTTTGTTTAAATATTTTTCCACTATAGAATAAATGTTGTTTTTAAAAAAATAAAATAAATGTTTTTATAAAAAGAAATCTTCATTCAACTACCTCAAAAACCTAGATCTACATGGTATCACAAGTATATAAAAGTCAAATCTAGTTCTCAAAAACTTGCTTGATACATTTAATTGTCTCTAGATTAAATTTTTTGTAGTTAGGTTTTTCATATCTTGTAACTTTTTTTTTGGGTCCTCCCCATCCTCGCCTTTAAGGATATACGGGGTTTTCCAGAGCTAGAGAGTGAGGGCGAGGATTTAAAAGACTCCAGGCACCGGGACGCGAACTCGTGACTATTTTTGTCTAGTTATCTCATGTATCAGGTTGCCGTGGAATGGCGGTGCTGTGCATACACGTTAACTCATTCAGCCACCCCGCCTCTATTCATCTTGTACCTAATTAAATATAAAAAAAAAAATAGTACCAGAAATTAATGAGGGAATAACTCAGATGCTTAATGCACAGTGATGATATCTTAGTCACCTCAAAATACCTTTGTTAAGAAGCAAGTACTTCTACCAATGGCTCTCCACAGGCTCTTACAGAACATTCTTTACAGATTTATCTATATGATATTTGTTTCCACATATTTTTCCTTATAAAAATAAAAAAAGAAACTGAGATTGTCTTATAAGATCTATAGATAGCTCCATAGAGGACATGGGCATTGATCCTGGAGTTTTATGAAGTAAGGAAATTAATTTCTTTATTCTGTTGGACACTTCTTGGTCCGTGTAGTAGTCAACATTCCCAGCTCTTCTCCACTGTAAGTTATTCTTACATCTCTCACAGCCCCCTCATCTCTTGTTACAGTCATTACCGTACTCTTGCAGCAGTTGATAATCATTCCTTTACGAGCGGGTTCTTCCTGCCATTCTATAATGGGCAGCTGCAGTTTTTTTTTAGAGTTAGTCACCAGCACGATATCGTCTGCCTATAGGTACAACTTCACTTAAACTGTTCTCATGTTTCACTTACCGACTGCAGCCCACGCAGTTCTTATCCTGCATATTTAGTGGATTTTAACCATGAAAATGATAAATAATAATGGACTCAAAATATCTTCCTGTTTCACACCTCATCCCAAGAGAAGTGACTTGGACTCTTGGACACTTATACGTACAATTCCTTTAGGACTTTGGTATGTTGATTTGATTGGTATTAGGAATACTCTTTGCTCTAAAAGCTAAAACAGTTTTGTACAGTTTGTAGATCAGTTGGAATAGGTATATAGGCCTGTAGTTTCCACATTCAGTAGTGCTTTCTTCCTTATGTATTGGCACAATGATATTGTATTGCCTAATCTTCCCGAATAACCTTGCCATCTCATATCTTCTGAAAAACTGCTTGTAATAATTTATTCATTTCATTTCCTCCATATTTAATAAACTCTGGGAAAATGCCATATCTTCCTCTTGCTTTTCCTAGCTTTGGTTTCTTCAGATTCTTTTCTATATCTTTCTCCCAGATTGTATCATATTCAGCCACTTGAATGGTCTATTCCTCGTGTTTTAGAGGTTGTCTGAGATCAAAGAACCATGGAAAATGATATTGTCTCCATCTATTCTAGATCTTGTCTGTGTCTGTGATCATGTGGACTGTTTTCTTAACTTCTTTGCTTCGTGCACTTTTATCTGGTTTGTATTTTCTTCACTTCATATACTGACCTAACTGATTCAAGTATGCTTTATTTTATGAACTTACAGATTTCTTCCACAGTTTTTCTTCTAGACATGCCCCATATCTCCTGTCTTTTCTCAACTGAAACAAGGAAACTCTGTATCTTTTCGAATGCTTTGAACTTTATGTTTCTATGCTTCCTGATCTGTGTGTTTGTAACCATATGTAAATGATCTGTGTCTATTTCGGCACCTGTGTCTGTGAACCAGTGTCTGATATCTTGTTCAAATGCAAAATAATTGATAACACTGTTTTGTCCTGCGATGAAAATGTTACTTTATGAACTTTCTTACAGGAAATGGAGTTACCAATAAGTATGTTATTATCAACAAAGAATTATATCAATCTTTGACCATTTTTATTCTTTGTCCATTCACTTCCATGTTTTCTCATAACTCCATGCACCTCTACCATCTGGTCCTATGGGGTCCTCTACCATCTTAGGCGAGACAGCCTCCCATACCTCCATTTTCTTGGAAAATTCTTCCTTAATAACAAAGTTCGCTCCTTCTTCAACTTGTTCACCACTAAGGCCCTGTGAATAAATGAGAGTGTAAACCTTATCCAGGTGCACTTACATAGATACCAAGAATATCTATCATTTACTTTATGATCTCTTCCACGAATTCAACTTCCTTATCTACGATGATTTTTACTTGTTATGACATTGGCTAAATAGATTTAGTTATTGGTCATATGGCATAATTAATTCATAATTATTATTTACTTTTGAATCATGAAGTATTTAATGAAAGTTATGTCCATCCTAACAACCAGTTTGTACCAATATCTGTTATCACATTCAGGGAACTCAACTTCATTTCAAAATTTCGATCATATGTGGGAATAAATCTTTTTAAAAAAAAAATGATGTAAATAGAATGTTTTTCAACTTATAAATGTTTATAGCACATCATGTGAACATACATTATCATTAACATAACCATAGATACATCATTTCGGAAAAAAAGAATTGTTTTGTTAAATTTTTACATAATTTGTTTCTAAAAATTTACCATCCTCAAGGTAGTATCCTTGGTCCTATCCTTTACACAGTTTATACAGCTGACATTCCAACCCATCCTGACACTGTCATCACCACATATGCTGATGACACATATATCCTATCTGTTAATAATGATCCATGAACTGCATCCCAAACTCTCCAAACACATATCACAAACCTTGAAGAATGGTGTAAAAACTGGAGAATTAAAATAAATTCCAATAAATCCCATCAAATTACCCTGCGTCGCAAACCCATGACCTCCTGTCCTACAGTATCCTTTAATAATTCCCCACTTATCGCAGTTGAACAAATCCGTTAAATAGGACTCCATCTGGACAAACGACTCACATGGAATCCTCATTCAAGACTGAAACGACAAAAAACTGCTCGACGTTTCCGACTACTCCAACACTTACTAGACAAACGCTCTAAGCTTTCAATCAATTACAAATGACTTATATATATGACAATAATAAAACCTATTTGGACTTACGGAATTGATCTTTGGGGCTCCACTAAACCATCGAATTCCTCTCGTATCCAATCCTTACAATCCAAAATCCTTCGTAAAATCCTCAACGCTCCTTACTTTGTGACAAATAAAATCATCCATAAAGACCTTAATGTTCCATATGTTTCCGATTCGGCCCAATCCAGATACCTATCCTTCCATAACAAACTCCAGAACCATCCAAACCCTCTCGTTTCAAACCTTGCTTCCTCCTCGATCCCTGATAACCCTCCGAGGCATCTGAAAAGAAGATGGCCTCGTGATCTACTTATGTAAATATGTTATTAGAATGCTACCAATGGGTATTTTCTCAACAAGCAATTTCATGTGATTGTATTATTACTGTTTGCACATTTAGTAGTTGTATTTTTTATACAGTTGTAAATATCAATAAAGAAAAAAAAAATTACCAGGATTGTCGATAAATTAAACATTTTGATGCAGTTGCCTGGCTTCTTTGAAACCTTTCACCCTTAACTTAAGAATTTTCTGGGAAGTGTGAAGCTAAGAAGTGAAGATTAAGTCTTTTATAGAGAGTGAATGTTTCTCAGTTTTTGAAACAGTTAATTCAAAATATTCTCAAATAAATTCCTATCAAACTTCACTCAGTGTATAACACCAGTTGAGTAAAATCAACTTACCTTTATCAGAAACCTAATGAACTAAAAATTGATGGTATAAATAAATGTTCCAAGGCTTTTAATTGAATGATTATTCTCTATACTAAAGAAGAGCATAGAGAGATGTACATCTAAAACAAAAAATGGAGAGAGGAAATTGAAGTGGTGATAACCATGGGCTCAAAGCAGAGCTAAATTACTCTTTTTGCTTTGCTTCTTGTAACTTTGTTAAAATTGTCTATAATTGAGGATATGCACTCTTTAAAATTGATCTGTCAGGTGAGGCATTTTTTAAATACTTTTGCTTCCTCGCTACCAAAGAAAGAGAAGCATTGTATTTTCTTTGTAAGAATATCGAGATTAGCCCTCATGTAGTCAATAATCTTAATTCCAGAGCCCCCACATTAAATAGTTCAGGACTGAGAATGAAACTTATTAGCAAAAGAAAATCTTTAAATATAAGTTCCAAGCATCTTTTTTGTAATAAAGTCCTATGCACAGGTGGATGTATAGTGGAGGAGGGAGAGGAAGGGAGCTTTCCTGCTTAAGCCCTCTCACCCGCCCCCATATGGTAAAATATAATCAAGGTTTACGAAAAAAATATAAAACATTATCTCTAAAAATATGATTGTTCATGTAATTACATTTAATATGACTTCAAGAATCATTTAAACACAATTTCATATACGTAGTCGGTTTCATTCTTTTTTTCCAAAGTAATTTTCGTTATATTTATAAAACAAATTCTTTTGGGCTGAAGCCCCGGCTCTATGTTTATTATA